TCCCTTACGCCTATCCTCCAACAAGTCATCGGATCACACACCTCTCCCTTCCATCTCTGGACCGCTCTTATGGCGCGCCATGAAGCCGGCACCCGCGACGCCATGATCATGTTTGCAAGTCTCACTCAACTCAAGTATAGTGAGGACATCAGTACCGAGACACTCTCCACTACTCTCGACGATCAGATCAATTTGATCAAAACGGCAACCCTCCCTGCGAACGCCGACGTTCTCACGGCTCGCGAAGGTCACGTAAAGACTTTTGAGCTCTTTCGAACTCTCTTCTACTCTAACGCCTTTGCCGCCAACAAAGACTTGTGGGACGCTGTTTGCACTCTCCAATTCAAAGCGCGCGAGGATGGAACTGAATGCATGCCTTATGTCATCAAGGCTACTATTCGCCACATCTTAAACATCGCCTCTCGCCACAATCTAATCCTCTGGGATCAAGGCCTCGGTGACTCCGAATCCCGTCGACGCCAAGTTGCTGCTGCTGCCACCTACACTACACCTCCAACCGCCTTGTATGTTACGCCTTCCACTAACCATCCCCCGCCTACTTATACTGCTGCTGCTGCCCCCTCTTACGAATCACTGCCACGTTGGGCATACTCAAACTGTCACAACTATCGTCAATGATCTTGCGAGACGATGCACGTTTCCGACGGCAGTGTGTGTCAATGCTTGAGAACGCCGGCACCAATGCGGTTTCGACTGTCGTCATCGTGCATGGTGCGGCAGTCAGGAAGGCGGTGTTCAGGCGAGCCACAATAGAAGCAGGAATTGAAAGGATCATACACAACATCATCGCCGCGACCGCGATGACTACGACGACAACCATGGGAATGATCAGGGTCTCTACAGCAGCTATCCCAAGCGCCATCATGACGACTCTCGGCCGCCTCCCCGAACTTCTACTCGTCGATCGCCTCCACGTTCCTCGCAGCGAGGTCGTTCCTCCGGCCGCTTCTCTCGAGCTCATCAACACCTTTCTACTCCTTCCTTTACCATCCACTTAGACTCAAGTCGTAGTCGTCCCATATCCCCTCCATCCTCCGCCTATCCTCGCCTTTCATCAGCTACCCGTCGTGCTCGTTCATCGCCTCCTAAACGTCGCGCTTCGCAATCACGTCCATCTGCTGGATGGAACACGTCCCAAACCTTTCATCCTTCTTCCGCCTTTCTTCAACCAATCCATACCCCTTGGAACCTTCACTCTATCCCCAGCTCTCCAACGAATGGATCATCGACTCTGGTGCCACCGCCTCCTGCACGACTCACCGTCGCTATTATATTGACTCCGCCTTTGTTGCAAATCATTTACTCTTGCTGTGGGTGATGGTGGCAAACTTCCTGTTCTCGGCTACGGGCCGATCGATCTCGGTGTTACCACCCACTCTGGCGAGACCTCGGCCAATCTCACCGCTCATCATGAGCCTCTCTCTCTACCCTTTGCCCTACATTGCCCCGCCTTACAATTCAACCTTCTCTCCGTCCGTCACTCTGTTCAAGCCAGCTGCCACTTCGACTTCTCCCATCCATCGCACTGCCTCATGGGCATCGGTCGTGGCCTTTATTTGCGTGCTCAAGTTAACGCCTTGGGACTCTACTCCTTTCCGGTGCAGCCCTACACATGCCTAGCCAGCAACCCTCCTCCTCACCTTCCTGCTGCCGTTGAAACTGCCATCATGGAATTTCATGCTAACCTAGCAGCTCATCCTTCCCTTAGTGATGCAGATGCAGATCCATTCCATATCAACTTCGCCAAGCCTACTCCGTCCTCCATTTCTACGCTTGAGTCTACCATACAAGCA